TACTACTTTTTTTAATTGAATTGTTGTGAATTGTCTTGGAAAGAAATTTCTTTAGCAGTTGTATACTTTATTGGGGTTATTTCCTGAATCTGAGTATATGATTTGGGAAATAAATTCTGTTCCATGATCAGAGTCAGTATTTGCTCATGGTAGCGGTGATGGTTTTATTTGTCTTGCGCTTCTGAATTAATGGCCTGCTTTATATTTGATATTTTCAAGTTGTAGTTTTCAATAACATTTTTAAGATTCTGAAGACATTCGACTGTTTCCTATGTTCCCAGGCTGATGATGAATTGAAAAAGGAGAGGCGGGCCTTTCTCGCACAGTTCTTCTCTTCCGTATTTCTAAAGGTTTAACTTCTATAACCTATCAATTTGAATCTTGATAAACCTCCATTTACATAAACAAATTGGCTGTCCCTATGTTGCAGGCATTTTCCATCACCTTTTTTGGTGAATGGGGCGATAAGAGCCAGGTAAACTTTATGACATGAACTCCATATTTCTGTCTTTTCCGCAACAAGCTACTATTGCATCTTCGTTGTTTGGACTGAGTATTTTACTATCTTTAGAGCTTGCTACCATTGGTTTGGCTGCAGATGAGAACCCATTCGGTGTGGTTCTTGGTGGCATTGTGTAAGTTATACCTTTTGATATCTCCATTTATTTACTTCAGCAATGCTATCTCTGCTTTGTATTTTGTAACTACTCTGTATATATGTTCACATAATTGGTTTCTTTTGTATAAGTTGATTAGTATTGTTTCCTTTTTTTTAGAGCACAAGCATTGTGCACCAGTGCTGCTGTCATTGGAGGAAAGAGCTTGGCATCTCAGATATCTGAGAAAATTGTAATCCAGATCGATACTTTTCTTTTTACCCTCATGCCATAGTTGTCCATGTGCATATTAACTTCTTGAGCAACTTGTAAAACCAAGTTTTGTCATTTTGATGCAGGTTGCACTCTCGGGTGGAGTTCTTTTCGTTGTTTTTGGAATCCAATCCTTCCTATCAACAGTAGAGTCTTGATGACTTACTAATGGTTAGTGCCATTTTTTATGTCGAGAGAACTGTTGATTAGAGTGGAGTTTAGGGTTTTGGTTGGGGGAGGAGGGGGTATGTTCTTTTCTATTTTGCACTTTGAGGAATGCTTTCAATGAATGCTTTGATGTTTCACATAAACCAAGTGAATATCCTGAAATCCAAATAGATCCGTTGTTTTTGGTATCACATAGATAATAGTTTTATACCTCTTTATCTTCTCATTCCGGGCATGATGCTCTCTTTCTTACACGGATCGATAGATGTGTGACAGTACATACTTCAACTAGCCTTCATCTTTCACTCTAAATGCACCATTATTGTTGAGAGCAAGAGTACGAATAGTTTTGTCTTGGAATAAGAATGTGTTTGCCTACCCAAAAGTACTAGTGCACGCACACACAAGCATATCCTTTTGTTGGATGCTTCCCAGTCTATAGTATGTAATGATTGCCTTGTGTCTGCTGCTGCAATCAGGGAGGGATCGCTAACTCTATGTGTTGACATTCAGAACTCTTCTCATTTTCCAAGTGGACTATTGATTGTGCGCAAGAGCTCATTGGAAGTGAACTTAAGGAGTTAAATATATTTGAAGAATGAAAGCTATGTGATGTTGGCTTCATCATTGGCAATGTCAATGTTCTACGTTTTAGTTCGACTCTCATAACCGTATTATTATTATTATTATTTTTTTACAATATTTGGATGTACAAACTAACAATGAAAACAACAAAAGAAAAGGTGGTTTAGTTAGTATCACCGCACCAACCATGTGGACAATTAGTTATTAAGATAACTTTCTGCTATCTTATTCAGGTCTACTTCACATTTTTATCTCTTCTGGAAGGAGGGGCTTTAAATAGGGAGGGTGAATAAAGACGCTGTTTCAACTCTGTTCTCTTGTTCAAAGAGCATGGGATATGGGGTTTGATGCCCAAAATCCCGTTTTGAGTGCCGTGCAGTTGTGGTTTCATATTCTTGAAAGCTTTTTTTTTTTTTTTTAAATCACTTTAAGAAAAGGTTAATGCTTTACCTTTGCTGTAAACATCACTCACTCACTCTTTTGAGACTTGAGCTTGGATCGATGCTATTCATTTCTATGATCAATGAAAACACATTAGTCCTAAAGTCCATCATCAAAACAACTAATGGCTCAATTACTGCATGACATTCGAAAGGTGTCTCTATCTGTCTATCCAAAATGAAATCATGTAACCTAATCTCCCTTACTAACCATATACTAATATAAGTTTTCCCAAGATCAGATGATGAGAAAGTAACTTATAAATCCCTTATCAATAGATGTCATTTCATCACCAAAGCCTTTGTTTCCTCCCACCTCATCAGTCACTATTGATGACATATGGAATAATTAATGGAAAAATGAATGACAGCAAATTCTAAATGGAACACGAGATACCATGTTAGATGGTACCATCGGTACATAAAATACTGCTTCCTAGATGTTACTACACAACTCCTGCTCATGTCAAGCCACTAAAGATACTGGTAAAGACTGGTGCTTTGTAATTTCTAGAAGCCCTACAGAACTACGAAGTTCTAAATAAGTCGGCAATTCCCAAAGTGTAGCCGATTAACTCATAAGGCCTCCTCCAGGCATGTTAGTTGGGGCCTGTGATGAAACTTGCCCCTGAGAAACTGATTGTGACCAGCCTGGACCTTGAACATAAGCTGGACCCATTCCTGACAACCATTTGTTGTTGCTGGAGAAGCTGCGACTGTTGCTGCAGTTGTGAAAGTTGCTGTTATTGTTGCAGCTGCGAGAGGTGCTGTTGTTGTTGCAGCTGGGAGAGCTGCTGTTTTGTTGCCGCTCTGGAAGCTGAAGCTGCTGCTGTCGTAGCTGTGAAGCCTGTATTCAGGCTCCAATAATTCTTGCATTAAGGTTTCCCTCGATTGCTCTCCTAAAACCTTGATGGCATCTGTGACAATATGCAGAGTTACAGCATCCTTATAATCAAATTATGTCTCTGAGTAAACAGACTTTTGGGTGAAATTTAAATCTTCAGAAAACCAACGTAAAATGTCCTTGTTGGAAGAAGCATCTAATTTAAGGAGACAAATAATAAGGGAATTAAAAAAGAAGACTTTCACAAATAATTATCAATTGGAAAGAATAAATCATTGCACAAATGCTCTTAAAATCACATAAAAGATTGATATTCCATACCATCAGTGCTTCAGAAAGCCCTTCAGCAATAGCAGCATCATTGAAACCACCACCAGAAAAAGGTATGGGCAACAGCCATTGTGAGAAAATATCAACATTTCTGTCCACCCACTACGTTGTACTAGGCATGCTGCATATAGCACCACATTTTCCACAAAATGCAGGTTCGAGACTAATAACCCACTTCAAGTTGAAAAAAAATTGAGCAAACAACATACCACAGTAAGATCCATAAGTGTTGAATTTGACCAAAGAAAGCTCAACATTAGATGTAGAATTCTTCTGTATTTAAACAAGATGAGTGAATTAATATACGTACATATAAAACACAAAATTGAGCACACTAGTTATCTTAAACTGACCGGACAGAAAATTGAAACATAAATGACTCTAAATTCACACAAATGAATGCTAATTCCCTCATGTAAACTTGGAGGCCCACACTGGGTTGCCTATAAACATTGTCTTGGAATCAGTTATTGTTAATGCAATGGTCAAAAAATGATAGTCTTTTGCTAAATTATCCAAAATAAATATTCAATTTATTATCCGATCGTGCAAAATGCGCTCAACAGCATAGTAACAGTTGGTGATGGGTTGATGGCCATGCATTTAGAAAAGTAGCTTATGAGAATGGGAGAAAGAGGGAGGAGAAAAGCCTTTTTACCCTGCCCGGTCAAGTCGCTATTACAGAAACACCTGTGGAATTACCAGAATCTATCAGATAAGACAAAATATACATACCCAAAATATATTTAAGTAGAAAACATACAAAAATTAACACAGGTTAACGGCCATAAATCCCTTGCAGGGTAAAGAGACACTCATTATGGTCATTCTCCCAAAAGAACATTAGAATCTTAATTGACATTCTCATTTTAGCAAACTTTGCAGGATCTGATAGGCTTACTCACTGTAGAGCAAGCCCCTCAGAACTTTATAAAGCATGTAAGATATTGTAGCTGATGTAGAAGAAGCTCACTAGCAAAGCAGCGAAACACAATGATCAAATTCTATTATCCCATTGGAAAAACCCCTCAAGGATGCTAAAAATAACTAATACCCTTGCAACGGGAAAAGGAAAAGAAAAACTTCTCCCTTAAGTAAATTTTTAAGGCAAGTGCAGGGTAACGAAAATCAGAGATTTGCCCCTTATCAGTTGCTCTTGCACTATTTTAGAACTATCAGTTTTGCTCTGGCACTATATTCCAGCGTAAAATTTCGCTCTTATATTAACAAATTCAACCAAATATGGCCATAAACACACAGAATATTTGAAATGATGACCATTTTAGAAGGGGTAAAAAACGAAAATCCAAAGCGCATAAACTAATAAACAAAAAATTATCTGAAAGTTTGAATAAAAAGTTGGCATCAATTATCACATACAAGAATGGAAATTCAAAATATCTATTTTCTAACAAAAATTGAAACTTTTTTAGCGAGTATTAATCGACTTGAACTTTAAAAGCAATTTGAGAAAAAAAAAAAAAGAGGATTTAAAAGTTTGATTTTTGTTCAGTGCCAAAAAAGAAAGTTTGTTTTGTTTCAATCATCAACCTTATACCTTTTGCTATAGTTTCAAATTCTTTCACTTTGGCAATTTTTTTTTTATTTTCATAAAGAGTTTAATTTCACACGGATAGTTATAAAAAAATAGTCCCTTGCATGAAGCACTAAAATGATCCGTTTTTAAATGTAGGAACTTTATTGAGTGAATTACCAAATCCCCCCGAGAAAATCTCAATCAAGTTGCTGGGTCAGCGGGACCCACTGAGGAGTTCATAAGATAAGATTCATGAATTCCGCGGGAGGCCAGCGGGGCCCTCTCGATCGAAGACTCCTGCTGCGGCATCTCTGTTGTAATCTTGGCAGAGAAGGAATCGAAGGAAGCCAAGAAGAAAATGCCTTGATAACAACCCGCACAAAAAATGATTGGTTTATGGCCTTTGTCACATTTATAACTCTTGATTCACTGCTATAATAACTAATAACTACGCAAGGAAAAACACCCATCTACCCTTTTTCACTCCTCTTTTCTATGCTCTATTAATTTGGATCTTCTTTTATTTTTCTGTTGAATTCGGTTTTTCCTGTCTTCTTTTTATCCAATTTTCTGGGATTATGTGAAGGTCTACAGAAGAAGAATAAGACAAGTGTTTTTGGGATTTTGTTTTGCTTATTTGAAGATGATGCTGCATTATCTTCAGCCCGCAAAGCTCCAAACCAGGAAGGTTATGTTTCTCTCTTCCGCTGTCCTAATTTTTTCGTTTTATGATCTCTTTTGATTCTGCTTTAAGTTTATCGAAAAATTTTTGCATTTTGATTGGAAATAATTGATGACAGTGATCTAGAATTTAACCCTTTAACGTGGGAAGGAAAGAATTTGCCCAGTTTGTCATACCGTTAGGCAATTGCAAAGAATCTAAATCGGATCAAGGTGCATTATGTCTTATATGAAATGAACACTTTCTTGTTTGACCACCTCACCTGAAGACATTTTTATGGCATGTTCTTAGTTTGCGGCTTAATGTTGCTAGGTTGATCATAAAATTGATATTAGACTGTCAATTGACGACAAAATGATAATGATTTTATAAAGGATGCTCATTTAGCTGAGTAAAAGGCTTTTTTATTCTTGTTATTTTCATGAATTTACAGGGGGCCTTCTGTTATTGAGCGTACCAATTTATTTGTTTCTTTTTCTTCCAAGGAGATCTTTCAGGGTTAAAGAAATGTAATTTTTTATGAATGTATGTTTCTTGGTAGATGATTTTGCTACTTTGGTTACTTTTATTTAGGGCTGCTATTGATGTGTTGGCAATATTGGCAGATTGTTTTTGAGGATGTGTTTTCTGCACGTGATTCTGCCACACTTGAACATCTGAAAGAGTTGAGCTCTAGGCGTAGAGTAATTGAGGACTCCATCAATCAGAGCAGCTCCATTACTGAGGCTATTGCAAGAGAAATGTCTGGAGGCTTGACTTCTCGTTGTCTAAGGGTAACTTCTTAATGTTGGCTGATTCACATTTTAACTTCTTTATAAACATTTGCTTTTGCAGTTCAATATCTCCATGGCTGTAATGCATAAATAATTGCTGGCAGAAATTTGCTTTTGGTTGCCTCTCTGGTTATGAGGGCAACCACGTGATTAAGTTTGAGTTATTCTAATTTTTTTTTTTTTGGGGGGGGGGGGGGGGGGTGTGGTTTAAAATGCATCAGGACCTTCAGAAACTGGAGCAATACTTGCCATTATTGGAAAACTTGATTTTTCATGTTGATTTGGTCAGCAGCAACCACCATGTTGTTCATTGGATTTCAGAACTTAAGATCTGTTGGAGTAGCGCTCTTAGTTCATCATCTTTCTTTAACCTGAGGGGTTCAAAGCTTTTTCAAATTGATAATTTACGTTATGAGCTTGGTATGATCAGTTACCTTTATGCAGCATTGCTTCGGGAGAGGGCTGTAGAAATTCTTCCAACTGGTAGGCACTGACATTCTCACATCAAGTTTTCTACTACATGAGTTTTGTGTTTGTAATGTTGCTATTTACTTTGCATTGTGCCAGATTTAGTGCAATCTGCCACTCTTTTCAGAGAAGCAGCTGGTGTTTTTCAGCATCTCACTAATGAGAATTTTCCCTCATTACAATCTGCACATTCTGGGGAAAGGCCACTGGAAGCAACTCCATCCATGTGCACTGTTATGAGCCTAATTTGCTTGGCTGAGGCACAGGTTAGTGTTAAGGCTTTCACATTTCAATATAATAGGATATCTATCCCAAGTTCCTGGTGTCTTGGCCTGAAATTTAATACAAAAATCCTTTAATGTGCAATTGTTTTTAAAGTGTTTATTTTTGTCTGCTTCTTTAGTAATTTCATTTTCTCTGATAATTATTTTATTATAAAAATGTAACAGGCTATAACCATAAGGAAGGCTGAAGAAAAAGGAACTACTGTTGGTCTTTTGGCAAAGCTGCACTATGGTATTACAGAGTTACTTGGTGAAGCCACTGCTATTCTTTATTCAAATACTAGAGAGTACAAAGATGTTTCATCGTGCTTCTTGGTTTGTACACGTATTTTTTAGCATATTTGGCTGAAAATTATTTGACAACGTTTTATTCCATGGTTAAGTAAATTCTATCAGTTTTATCAGTTGAATTGCCTACTTAGTTAATTGCAATCAATTGCATAAATTTTTACATGATATGATAAGCCTTTTTACTTGATATGAACTTGGCCTACATATGGTGATTTTTTTTTACACTCTGTTCATTGGTGATCTCCATTTACCAGAAAGCCTATAATCTGTCTTCACCAAATACCTTGCACCATTTTATTATTCCTAATATTGGAGTGAAACGAGTGCAGATATTCTACGTTTCTTTGCTAGAGAAACTCTTCTTTGCTGTTGCCTATGGTTGCATTAAGACATGTCCTCTGTGAAGGAGCTGATACTATAGTGTTCTCTGTGAACAATGCAGGAATTTATATCATCTTGCAAAGCTCTACATGAGTTAAGAAGTCTGAAATACCTTGCCGAAGGTCTAAAGATGGCTGACCAAGTTGGAGTTGCCATTGGAGTTCTTTGTGATGCATTAATCAAAGTAAAAAAGAAAGTTCCAATGGAAGAATCATGGAGAACCATCTTCAGAAAAGAAATTGATGACGCTGCAGACATGCTACGTAAATTTGAAAATGAGAATGAATTTGTCTGGCATGAGAAGATCCCGGGTGGCGATGAGTTGCCACAGCCACAAGGTAACAAGATTGTCAATGCCATACCTTACCATCCCAAAAGATGGGAGAGAGAACTTAGTTTCAAGATTTAGATGTGCATAACTTTTGTATTGTAAAGCTATCTTAGTTTTGGGTGTTGAATGGTCACATGCTTCTTGAGCTGCCTCTCCTTAATGTGTGCAGAAGGAGAGGTGTATATTATTGGTTAATCTACCAACAATTTTTTTTTAATTTAAGTTGTCTATCGAAACAAGAGATTAGGGTTTGTTAAATGCTGAAGGGGTAAGGTTTCACTGAGTCTTTGAGTTGTATTTTTTGAAGGCTTTTGTAAGATTTGATAGATTATATTATACTACTATTATCATAGCAGTAAAGCGATGACAGTAAAATTTGTTATAATTTTCAGTTCCCAACAGCACAGCTCAGCAAGAAATAAACTTTTTTCTTTATGAGATTTCGCCTAGCAATTATTGTTTTTGAAAAGTTTTATTTTTAAAATATATAAGAGAAGAAAGAAAATAGTTGAGAGAGTGCCAAGTGGCGGAGTCAAAAACATTAGAGCAAATGATTGCCACTGATAGGCAGTTTTGGGTTGGTTAAAGAAGCGCCATGACACGACACAGGACATAACAACTCCCAGACCCAGTTCGTGGGAACATTCCAAAGCATTAAACTTGAGAAGCAACCCACCATGGCAGTTCATTGTCACTCTGTTCCTTTCTCTTGCAAAACATGAAGAAGCAGAGCCCCCAAACCCTTATCCACACTCTTACCCACCCGTCTCTTCTCAGTTCCTCAAGCCCCATTTAGCTTCCATTCACATGCATTAAGCTCTCAACATGCAGGTATTAATTACACAAAGCCTCGATGATCACTGCCATTTGAAAACTTTAAAACTGCTCTCAGGAATGTCCCCAAATCTTAGAGTCATTGCAACTCCCAATTCCAAGGCTCTGCTGGATCTTCTCAAAAATGTGAGTTAAAACTTTAATTTTATGGTACTTCACTGCCCTTTTGCGCTTAGTGGCTACCGTATCTGAATTTCTGTTGATTGTATTCATTTAATTGCCATTTGCATGGGAACATTGGCAAATTAAAATCGAATGTTACCTAAAGTAAAGATGATAAACTTGAGTCTTTGCTCCAAAGTTGGCACTTAACTTTTGGAGAGGAAGATGGTGGTTGTGAGCTGCCACTGGTGTTTCATATTAATCTGTTATTGAGGAATTTGCACCCTTGTGACTCACTTACAGTCTTATAGAGAAACAGTTATCTCAGTGCTTTATAGAACTGCACCTTATATTCCCCTACAGCAAGCACCCCCCCCCCCCCCCCCCCAATAATATTCAAGTAAACCCATGATTTTGAGTGACTGTTGTTTCATAGTTCTTACTCTACAAATTATTTCTTCATTGTTAGTTAAGTGTGTTGCTCTATGCAGTTTACTTATTTTTATTATTTATGGAAGAGATGTTATATATATAAAAACTAAACCAAAAGCAGAAGTTGTTGAAAAGTTATGCAGTAAGCTTCCATATACTTTAGGTATTAAATAGTGTCGGATATTCATTCCTGTCTAGACAAGTTTTTGACAAAATTTGCTGGAAGTAGAATGATCTTTTGAAATCAATCTAGAAGAAAGAATACATATATTTCAGTTTGAATAGATGCTAGTTTTCAGAAGTTTATGGTATAGGATTCTAAAGTTTGAATTGCGAGGTAGATATAGGACTGCTGGACTCTAACTTTTGTGCGGTGGGTGCATGTTGGCATGCATGTATATGTGTGTGCACCGGAAGTGGAATATCTTTTCCTAGCACAAGTTCAGGTAGGTAAAAGCTTAAGCAATCTGAAATGGTGTCCTTGACATTGGTTAAGGTTGGGATACTTGAATATTTTGTAGCGAGAAGAGGATACAACTTAAGGGGATTGAGTGGATTGTGGTCCTTGTGGAGGAATGAGGACTAAGGTTGTGGTGATTTCAGTGAAGGACATTTAAGTTAACCTGAAAAGAGGTTCAGTGTCATTGCATATTCATCAGTTCAAGGATTTTCTGCCATGTCCTTGGCTCCCTAAACTTTTGAGGAACTGATTTTTCCTATGGAACTCTTAATAAATACTCTAATTCTGTTGTACATGTACCCAACAACATGTAATTTCTTTTCTGAGAAAAAAAAAAAAGTTCAGAATCAATCTTTTCTGAAGATTCGGAACCATCTGTTATACTAACATTAGTTAAAGACATTGACAAATTGGAAAAGGTTGTTTTAGTCTAAATAAATATAAACCATGAGAGATGCATTTAAACTTGTATCAAAGCCTTGGTGGTGTAATCTTTTCCTTCCCATTTAAGGGAAAATGTATCTCCGACATTCTTGAACTCTACAAGATGTGGACTACAACTAAATCTCAAGAAATAGCAGCAACTAGCTGGCTTGTCCTCATATTTCCTAATAGTGGCTGATAACAAATAGATCCTACATTTTCAACAGATCACCACACCAACCCAACCACGATACCAAACTAGCCCTACTCAAGTATGGTATCTGCTATGGTGCCTATATGATATACTTGTTAAGGGACATCAGCAAGCACATGTCTCCTGTAGGGGCCTAAACTCACATTTTCACCTCAAGTGTATTGACTGATCTTATGTCCATCTTAACTTCTGCCTTAAACCTTGGCAGTACTCAAACACCATGAACATATTTGAATCTATTGAAAGGCTGTCCTGGAGAATTAAGGAAAAGTGTTGAAATTGAGCCAAACTTTGGAATAAGTCTTATTTGTAGTATTCATATGCGTAACTTGGTCTAACTGATCAGTAAGTAATACATATTCAAGTGTCTGAGAGATTGAGTTTTCCTTTTTCAAATACAGGAGCTTTTGTCGAAGGAACTACCAGCTGCACAGGCATTAGAGCCCACTCCTGGTGTACCATTACAAATTCCTACTCTTTAAATAAAGCTTCAGATTTTGTACAATATGGCTAGTGAAGCAGTGTATATCAGATAGTTCATATATTTCAAATTCCTCCCTAGAAAATGCAACCATGAACATTGTCTACTATTCAAACAGGCTACATATCTTCCTGTGGGCGTGTTGGGTTGTCGTGACTCTCCCATTAACAAACTCTTTTTAAATTCTCTCTTCACTTTCTAACTGAATTTTGCTGCAATGCCAATGTATATATGTATATTCATTCTCCACCACGTTTTCAAACAGAATTTAACATAAATTAGCTAGTTTCTTGACTTTCTGAAACATTTGATCCATCAAATCTCTTACACACCTTTGAGGCTCGTGTCGAAGATTAATAGTGTGTTATGTGGATTCTATGCTCAAGTACTTTTGTTGTTCTATAATCGAATTTGTAGCATTCGAGGCAGGAACTTAGGATCAGTACTATAATGAATAAGAAGTTTGCAGCTGAAAACTAATTGAGTCACAACTGGGTTTGGTGGCAACTGTTATTTACGGTAAGTATAGCAAGCCCACAATTAACAATTATTAAATTAGAGTTTATAAGAATTCACTACAAATACCCAAAGTGGCCACTGTGCCAATATCACTCAAATCAATGTCAAATTGAACTAATCGTGTGTTAGCTGGCAAATGACACAGCAACTCAAAATTCACACACTACTATGTGTTTTTCTTCCTCTCATTACTCTCTGTTTTATGTTTTTGAAAAATTTTGTTGCATATACCAAAAAAATTTACTAAATTATAATTTATTTTATTCATATACAAAATAATTGTTTTATTCTCATCTTATTTATTTGTATCACTTAAAATGTGCATAAAAAGACAGAGAATGTATGGTGCATGACAACTTAACAAAATATAGTATGAATCTTTACCAAAAAAAAAAAAAAAAAAAACTATTCTTAGCTTGTTAATTGTTATCTACTTATTTGAAAAAAAAAAATATTATGCATTAAATCTTCTCAAATCGATAATCTCTAAAAATCTTACTAACATATATATTATCTAAGTTAATATTCAATTGACAACTAATAAGCATATCTTAGACATGAGATTGGAATAATGCCATTTTTTCGACCCAAGTTTGGTCATGGAATATTCTCAAATTTTGCCATATGATGAACAATGAACTAAGAAATAAGCCAATTGAATACTAACTCAAATGGTAGATATCCTTATCAAATTCTTAGAGTTTGCCATTTGAAGAGGACTTGAGCACATAATATTTTTCAAATGAATTAAGCAGACACAGTTAAGATTTAAGAGTAAATTAAAAAAAAAAAAAAGTCAAGAAGTCTTTTTGCTCTCTTATTATTATTAATTTTTATTTATTTATATTGTAAGTAGTTTTATGGGATGTGAAGAGTCATTTGGCCTTTAGATCCACTGAAGGGACGCATTTCCTAATTATTCTACTAAGAAAAAAACCAAAAATCAAACAAAGGAAATAAATAATCCGTACGTATGTTCCATGGATCCATGTCTATCTTCATAAGCCCTTCAATTTAAATTCCTTTACTTAGATTGGTTTTTGTTGCCCACAATTAGCCTACACACGCCCAATTAATATTCATCACCTGAGATCATCGATCATCAATTTCATTAAACATATATAATTTAACATGTACTTGAAGACTGGAGTTCAAATTGCATATTCTGATCCAAAACCAAAACCAAAGTTGTGACTGTCATGTCGATGAATTTTGAGTAAAAGCACAATATATATATATATATATTATATTTCAACAATAAATGTGGAATTCATGAGATATACTCCTCAATTGATATAAATGATGATAAATATTTGATTTTAACAAAAAACAAAAGAACAGTCTTTCTCCGGCACGTTAATTTGCTTGGTTTGAAACACCCACTTGCACCCAATACCTACTGATATTTGATTAATGAATTTAGTTGATAATTAAAATGTAACATTCTTATGTTATCATAATATCTTTGTTTTATGTCCCTTGCCTATAAGATAAGTTAAACAAATAGAGAATACACTTTGGACATTAATTAAGATGATAACATATCCAATTGTACTGAAAAATTATACGTCAATTTCATTTAAAAAATAAAAAATATTCTTCAAGAAACCAGAATATTACTAATTTGATTCTTTTTTCTCTATATCTGATCAAAACTACATATTGGGTTGGCTGTGAGAAAAGTCATAGAAAATTAGCAAATGGCCATACATCAACAAGTCAAATGGCCTTTGTCCAAATGTGGATTGAAGAAAATAATGAGCCTTGTTGAAGTTAGATTCTTCCCGAAGGGACACTTTTATAATAAAGTAGCAGATTACTGCCATGCAATTGCAAACACCGAAGCTTGCTTGTTGTTTGTGGTGTGGCCCATGTCATAATTAGGATAGTAATCCTATAATATCAAAATGCATGAATATATGCCACTTTACTAGTGGAGGTGGTAATAACATAACTACATTGGGTTGAAGCTTTCTAAGTAGTTAATTTGGCGAACAGGAGTCTATGGATTTTTTTTTTTTAATATAAAATTACATTAAACTATTGAGTTTAAATTAATTCAATATCAAGTTAGGTATTTATAGCACCATTTTTCACAGAGCATATAAGCATATTTTCTCCTTTAAAAATTCAAAGCGAAAAGGATTTAACATTAAACTTCTCTTCTTCTTAGGAATGTGAATGTGATTAGCTTGGGATCGATGTACCTTACACAACTTGACCCTCTTCTAATTAATAATTAATTCTGACTTCCAAATGAAGCTTATTAATTAACATTATTAGATATATATGGTGAGTCATAATCTTTTGTCAACCATTTAAATCTAATTATCTCTATCCATTTGAATCAATCGATATAAAATTGGTACACAAAATATGCTAGAAAAAAAATATATATGAATTTATGTTTTATACATTATCAATGTATAAATTTTATACATTATTAGTAAATCAGATGATAACATTTCGTTAATGAGTAAATATCAATCTTTAAAATAAATATATAAAAATTAATATTTTTTAAAAAATTTACGCATTAATGAGATGATATTATTGGATTCACTTCATTAATGAGATGATATTATTCTATTCATTAACAATGTATAAAATTTATATACTAATAATACATTAAATATAAATTATATATATATATATGTATATATATTAAACCTGATGCAATCTGCCGTATATATATTAGCTTAATGGTACTTGTTAAACATGTTCTAAAGAGATTTGAACCTTGAATTTAATTCTTTCTTAAAAAAGATAGTAACCGTTAAGCCAAACTTTGGACGTTGGACCGAAGGCTTCTCGACCATAGATCATTTAAAAAATAAAAACCAGTAGTATCTATCGAACTAATAATAAGAAAATCAAGTTTTTTGAAGTCATTGTTCATTAAAAGAATTGTGATTAATTGAAACTTTAAGTGAACCTCATTGTAATTTTCATCATTGTAGGAAGGAACAGGGAAGAATCATAACATTTTCGAAAGTCATGAGGACGGAAAAACTGGCTTCTACGCAACCATAGTTTCTAGGAAACGGCCATCTGTTGCCCACCCAGAAAAGATTTGAATAGCTATCCACTTCTGATCGCCTATTTTCTTGAACAGGACTCATTGTTTGATCATTATTGTTGACGTTTTCTATTGCTACAGAAACAAGAAAAACATTATTCTCTTTGTATCAATTATTAAGTCTTTAAATTTCTTATAAAATTGTAGTCATTATTAAGATTCTCATGTATCTTCCTTATAAAGCTAAGGCGGTGCCCGCAACATAATGTATTTCAACTACAAATAGGCCTGCCTATCCCTAGTCACCAAACACTGCCCCTGGATGTCCAGGGTTATCTCGAACATTTGGATAAGATCACTCGGGGAAAATAGTTCTGATGCACTGGAACGATCAGGAATTTGGATGACTTCTGGAACCTCAGATTAAAATACGTACAGCTTCTGGTATCTAATATGAAGTTGGGATTGAATATCCATGACAGAAACCCAAAGTATTCATTGTATCAAAACGGATGAAATGACTAACGGGGGAAATTAGAGCATGTGGAACGAACACGGCTTTTGTTAGATTCGAATACATGATTAAATGCAGCAGTCCTGTTACCTGATGATTCCAAATACCAAGATTCCAATTTATTCGTTTAACTATTTCAGTTTCTGGAAACAGAATGCATGAGGGAGAACTACAAGGATACTTTTATTCAAGGCTGACTTTCTATCACTATCCGAGGTTTACGCTCAACAACAATAGAAGGATGTTAATGGGGCAAAAAATATACATATACATATATATAAGGGAATAAAAACTGAGAGTGTTGTATCTATATCATGTAGAACTTTCTAGTGCGTTTTTCTTACAAAAATGGTACACCATTCTCATGCAGTGAGAACTAAAACACAGGAGAATCTGTAGTGGTATGAGTAGAGGTAGATGTTGATGGTGAATTTGAATGAACTCTCCCTCCACTACGGCTGCCCCTTTCTTCAGATTGTGGCCGTTGTGATCCCCGCACAGTTGTTCCTGATGGTTGAGGAAGTGTAGGTAATGGGGCAACCACTGGGTTGTAGATTCTACTGGTTGGAGTCACGCTGGCTGTTTTCCCCGATGCTGTTGTTGCAGTCATTGTGGCATATTCTGGTGGAGGTACCCATATGCCTCCAACCACCACAAATTGGGGTACTTGTGGGTTGACATTGTTGTGGACAGTTTGGCTTGGTCTTCTTGTGTGTAATCTATATTTCTGAAACAGATAAAACACATGAAGGATTTAGCCTTTAATGTATAATTACAGATTCAACAGTTTCACCTTTGGACCAAAATTTCTTTAAAAATTTACATGCTAAGATATTGTAAATCAAAGATGTACAATATGTTGAAATCTAAATTATATGCCAAATCTACATTAAATCTAATAAACGCTGTTTCAGCAGTGCCAAAGATGGTAGAACAAACTAGTCTAATTGCAGTATTTTCTCAAAAGCAGATTGATTTGCCAAAAAAAATACAGATAGCCTATCCCTAATTATATACCAAACCATCAAAATCCAACATGTTAAGAAAGATTATCAAATAGAAGATGATAAACCAACACTTACATCCTTATAATTTACAGCAAATAGTAATTAATTATCTAAAAACATTAACAACTAATCAGTACTACATACCTGTAAATGGCTTTTAACTTCATCATTAGTAAGTCCATCAACCTTCATTAGCTCCCTAATTTGCTTTGGCGTGGCAACTGCAAACAAATTCCAATTACAACCCTCGCATCAATAAACAACATAAATGAAACAAATTCCATTAAAATAAATAAAAAAATTTTTTGACAAAGAACTCACCATGTGAACCACCGAGTTGCTGGAGAGCATGCAAGAAGCGCCTATGCAACTCCGGGGACCAACACCGCCTTTGCTTTTTCTGAGGCTGCCCATCCCTTTCTTCCCTTCTACTATTAGTGTTTCCATCATTGGCTCCTTCCACTCTACTCCCACTTTCTGTTGTAGAAGTACTTGTAGCCGAGGCATTGCCTTTTCCTACTGATTGAACACTCTTCTCGACAATTTTCTCTCTCTGTAACTGGTGAAATGATCCCTCATTTCTCTTCACTTTCACCACACTACCACTTTTACCCGCATCCTACAATTTAAAAAAGGTCCCATAAATTATTAACTTATTTCTTTTCTAGGTTTGGAAACTATAAATGAAACATAAGAAAAGAGGTTACGTCCTTCAAGGATGGATCAGGGGATTGATTATTATTCCACAATCGAACAGATCTAAGCCAATCAGATTTCTTTTTATCAGCAGCAGCAGCAACAACATTCTTTTCTTTGGTGTTGATATCGTGGTCTTTGGATTTATGGGATTCTAGTTCATCACCTTCCTCAGAGCAATTAAAGCTTCTTTTGATTGGAAGAAATTCTTCCAAAACAGGTACATCACTCGATGTATGGTCAGAACAATCCGTTTGCCCTTGCATGTAATCCGTCGTCGTTGAACCCCCCGAGATCTCTTTCATGCATGCCTCGATCGCTACGACACAAAAAAGTTGATAAATTTTAGCACCCAAAAGAACAAAAAGGAAAAGGAAAGGAAATGAAAAGGTGGTGGAAACCAAAACCATTAAGGCCAACCTTGGGTAACAAGCTCCAAACACAAAGGAAGTTCGCGTTCAAAGACTTGAATTTTACGTCGTTCTTCTTCTAAAGCCTCCACATATTCAAGCCATCTGCGCGTATTTTGAGCGTAATCCATCTTTATCACAGCCTTTTTCTAACTCAGGAAAATCCTTTACTTAAACTTTGGTCTTCTTCTTGTTTCCACACCAAGATTACAGAGACAGTGGAGGATAGTTATATGGGGAAAAGAGTCGGTTTTCAGACCAAATAGCATAGATAGATCCGAAGAAGATTAGAGAAGGCAAGGGCAGTTGTGAGAAAATAAAAAGAATAAAAGGATCTAAACAGAACCAGGATGAGAATAAAGTTGGTACCAAGAAAATAAAATAAAGGAAGGATTTTTTGAAGAGAGAAAAAAAAAAGAGTTTATTTTGATGGATAAATTAAGGAGAGAAGGGAAATTAAGAGAGAAAATAAAAGAGAAAAAAAATCGAAGTCGGGGCGTCGCATAACAAAACGAATCTTTGACTTTTTTTTTTCTTAGAGAGAGAGAGAGAGTTGAATATTCCAGAGAGTGATTCTGGTCGTTTATAGGTGGGCCGGCAACGACTTCATCTCTCTGCCCTTTCCCCATTTTGTTTCAGAAAAGATCAAAGATTTTTTTTTCTTTCCATTTTTTTTATCTTCTTCTGTCTTGTGGGAGAGATAGGGTAAAAGCGTTCCTATGATTGTTTTTGTGTAATCTTGATGATTCTAATGATTGCATGCCTGCCACGCACTCCATCACAAGTGCCAGTTTTGTCCTACTTGGAAATTGGAATATCGGGTTGGGCATTTGGTTTATGAGAAAAAGTAAAATTATCTATTATTTTGGGCGAATATATATAGGGTTAACAATGTTGTTTGGTGCTAAAATAATTTTTAGATTTGTTTAATGATTAGAGAAAGAAAAAAGTTGGAAATTAAAAGTTGAAATAGTGAAGCGAATATTCGAGGGGCGGGGGAGGAGAGGTGTTGTTGGAGGGAACAAGGAATAAGACAGTCCAACGACAGCCGGGGCAGCTGGAGCTGGAGCTGGACTAGACCCCCACTATCCAAGTCATGCCAACTAGTGGATTATGATCGGAGATTTGGTATAGAGCTCTCAACTTTTTAAACTCTGGAAATTGGGATAACTAACTCTTCTCACCATGCTTCACTTGTTGGGTAAGACGATCCTTTATTTTCAATTAAAATCATAATAAATTCTCACAAGCAAGCAAAGTTCTCAATTAAAAACGGATTAATGATAAAATAAAATTCATAATTTGGTAATAATATTATTAAATAATTAATATGTAGATAATTTGAAAATTTTTACTACATCACTAATAAAATTTTTAAAAACTATTTTAGTAATCGATACTTTTCTTTTTTAGAAACTTTGATACTCGTTATTTAATTCAAATATTTTTATGCAAACACCTGCCTCATTGCTGAGAAATATGATTTTTCATAAAATTAATTCTGTAATTAGAAAAATAAGTAAAAGTTTCATGATACGAATTTTTTAAAAAAAAAATCTAAAGTGAAAAAATAAACATAATTTAAGATTAATATTTCATTTTGACTTCTGCAAACATGTTCTAAAATTTTAACATCTTATGTTATTACTAAATGTTAGATTAAATTGGTCATTTGAGAAATATCCATTGTGTTTGTGTGCATTCAGTGTGATCAGGATAATTATAATTTAATTTATATTTTCTTTCACAAATTATTTTAATTTCTTATATTATTAGTAGTTTTTGTATGTAATTAAATGAGCTTCATTTGAATTTGGAGAACTTAATAATTAATTAATATGGTATTTAGATTGCTTGGAAACTTAGCCCAGCCCAGTCCATGAAAAATCATATGAAACCATCAAAAGAAACCCGTCTGATTTACTTTGTCAAGTCAATATTAAGTTTTGTTTATTTTGAGTGAGGAGCTTACAAACATTTTCTCAATTATTCGATTTCCTGTTCTTTGCTCTTTTTTTTTTCTCCTTGAGATTAAAAGTTAAAATAAATGAAAAGACTGGCTTTTAGGTATTACGTCAAATTAGGTTGGTATATATATTTATAGAGCAAATTTAAAGTTGTCAAGTCATTTCATAAACTGTTATATGCAGTTTTAAACCTATGGAAACAGAGTCAACGGATTTAAAAATGATAATCAATCCCTCGATGTGATCCTCCTCCTGGGAAGCAGAACATAATGTGGAAGTGTCATACGTTGGAGGGCTGGATGTCATACCATTAAATTAGTCAATGGGCCCTTTACTTACCTTTCCAATAGCCTTATGTTGGGCCTTGTAAAGTTTTTCTTTCGTTACACAACACGAAATCTTTATAATTAGGAGCTACATCTAATATATTATTAATATATAATATTATATATTATCAGTCAATTGTATACTAATATATTATTAAAAAATTAATTTTAAATATACTTTTATAATTAAGAGTATTTGTTTTTAAGATTTTAAAGTTAACTTTTTTAATCAAAAATCATTATATGATTCACTAAAAGTGTATAATGCTATATATTAATAATATATCAAATATAAATTTTTATTATTATTCCTTATTTTTTTACGTAAAATATAAATAACTATCTAAAAAAGAAAGATAATAATAACTAAAAGGCTAATTATGCTGGGCTACTAAAAATTTTTTTCAACAATAATGTGGCTAGAACCTCGTGAAGGATCTATAAAGAAATGTGTATAGCTAATATAGTATGGCAATACAAATTTAGGCATGAAATATGAATGACATAATTAAGAACTTAGCTAGTAATTAGTTTAATACTTTGCAAGGGTGCTTTGAGAGTTGAGAGGGGAAATAATTAATATATGAGCACCAATATTGATCTCTTTCTGCATGCATTAGGTTTTTGGGTTACAACAATATATTGAGCAAGAGATATTTGATCTGAATTCTGTCTGGGTTTCTTTTTCTGGTTTCCCTGGCAGCCATATCAAGGTCAAAGGTAAATAATGTTGAATAGAATAGAATAGGTAGGAAGGGAAAAGACAAAGATGAATTAAAAGTAGATGAGTTATGGCTTGAGTGGCAGTGGCAGATGGGGGAAGTACATAAGCTGTGACTCAAGAAGAGGGCGGCCATGAATACATGAAATACAATTACTCACTGTGTTATCTTTTCCAAGTTTCCTTTCTCATACAACACGAAGAATTGGCAATCTTTACTTTATCTTTCCCCTCATTCATGTCACAAATGTACTAATTTTACAAAGCAAACCCATGCGTGACCTACACTACTTTTGTTTTCTACTACATTCTTGGCTCCTGTCATTCAAACAAAATTAGGAATCCAATAAGCAAAGCCAGAAGAGAAAATGGAGATCTGTAGTTAACTGAGGACTTGATAAGATTAACTAATGGAGTCACATTACTAGTGCGTGTCAAAGAAATACTAATCTGCTAGAAAAAAAAAACCTTGATTTATTTAGACTCCCTTTATCATGGAATTTGTTTGCTTTATTAAAAAAAATTCAAAACAAAAGCTGAGTTTCAAACCCTGCAAAAACCATTAGCTAGTGTACAAGTTATGGTATATTTTGAAAGTTAATTTTTTCTGATATGATGCCTGTTGTTTGATGAGTTGTATCAATTCTTCTTAATGCAAAAAGTAGTGTTTGTCCATTTTGTTTGATTAGCAACGAGGGATTTGAAGCTGGATTAGTGAAGAAGAATATATATATATATATATATATATATATATATACACTCACATATATATGTATTACAATTAATATGGTTCAGAGTTTGCCTAGATTGCCTGAACCGAAGGGCCAGGAATCAGTATATGGATCTCCGCAATTGGAAGAGGGACGAGCCAAGTATACCTTGTTCCTCTGTCAGAATTTGCTTTGGTACTTTGTTAGATTATTTAGAGGCCAAAGCTAAATGGCACAATTAGTGGTCCTGCTCACTCCTAGAATTGTGTTCTAAACTCTTGGTTCAGCTTTTCACGTGGAGATAAGCACAGTATCAAAAAACGACGGGTGCTTCCAATACAAAATTCTCATCTTCCATCACATGATCCTCCTGGCAGTTCCATTAATCTACCATTAACTTTTCAATTCATGTGCATATATAAATGCATTATCATCTAGCTAGTTGGCTATATCTGTTGTGATATCTCAATGGAGTTAATTTTGAACAAATCATATGAGAAAAGAAAAAAAAAAAAAAAGAAACGTCAATTCTCATTTGGTTATTATTTAGAAAATGAGTCTTTCGATCAGGTCTACTAATTGTGAAGGCTACTGATTTAGCAAAGGCTGGAAACCTTTTGGCATATTTGTGAGCAACCTTCAACTAAAAGAATTCAGAGTGATGTTTGTTCTTTAAAAGGAACCGACCTAAGTGCCATGAATGTATAATATGTCCTTTAATTTAATGTATATCACTTATACTCTGTTTATCTTACTTCTTAATTATGTACCTTTCTACGTAGTACTGTCATATACTCATATATATTGTCAATGTTGAATATATAAATATATATGTAGATTAATATTGAAATGTATATATACATATAGTCCTCAAGAGGATATATACTCTCTCGTGGTTAGAATTGAAGGTTTTAACTTGAAATTTTCAAATTCCAATATTAATTAAACTAGGTAGTTGATAGTTATCTTTTATTGTATAATTCAAAACTATATGTAAAAGACAAAAAAAAAAAAAAAAAAAAAAACATATGCTCTCTCTCCCTATATGCTGTTTACTTTCTCTTTTCATATTTCTTTTGTAAAACGTTCAAATATGAAATCCGTCTGATTTTCATTTTTAAAAATGGATATTCTTACATTTTTATATTGTTACAAATGTCTTGTTTTACATAAAAAAGCATGAAACATTAATTAGTCTTTTTTAATAAGCTATTTTATTACTTATCCAAAAGAATCAAAGACATTAATTAGTATTATCTTGTCCAAATAAGTAATATTATAACTCAAAACTTCTCTTAATAAGAAAGTAAAAAGGGGACAACCATTTAATTTAGAGAAGTGCATATATATACATATCTACATATATATTGACTTATTATATAGAGTAGGTGTATTTATCTTCTTTTTTTTTTTGTTCAAAGAAAGGTAACGCCTTATTACATAGAAAGAGGGAGGGGGTGATTTGGTTCGAACCTAAGCTCTTATGTCTTCCTTAAGGCTTCTTTGCTATTAGGCCAAGAAGCAGAAGACATAGGTGTATTTATCTTTCATGTTTTATATATAGACGATTAACGAACCTTTTTTTTTCAGTTTTTGTTTTTCGTCCATGAGGTTATCCCTGTTCTTTTAGTATATGAACGATAGGTCAGTCTAATTTCCTTATCTAATTAAGCAACTTCAGGCAGGAGCAAGCAGATGGGGTTCGCTTAAAGTCATGCGAAACCCTAAGCTAAACGTTTTAACCGAACCTTTTCGTGGACTACGGTGACCCAACAACCAGTAAGAATTTTGCTGAAGTGGCATGTATATACATATATATTTGATGGGATTGGTTGAAAGAATCTAACCCCGTTAAAAGGTTTAAGATGTAAGTGTGTTTTTCCAATTAAAGAAATAGCCCACAAAACATTTTGACCATTCAATGTTGAAAAACAGGGGTTAAATTATGAAAAACAACTGTTTCTCTCATTGAATTCGAGTAGGTGAAGACAGAATCATCAAAATTTTCCTCTCACTTTTTCCTCTACAGCGAAGAATCTTCACATTTCTATGTCATGATAGACATATGCATGCATGGATTGAAAGATTATAAATCTCGCAAAGCACTTGAACGCACTCTCTCTCTCTCTTGCGGTTTTTGTCCAAATTAATGGTTGTGAATATCATGTCACCCTTTTTAAAGGACATTCTAATCAAGTGGTGTACCTCTTTTTATTAGGATGATTGCTTTGGCTAAATTTGCATTTAAAACCAAGGACATTAAGGCCAAAGGCTAAATTAGCAAGGCTTGACACTTGATCAGCAAGCATAAAACTTACTGTAATTGTTAAGGATATTGCAGAGTTGATGATATATAGAATTAGGGAGTACCGTTTTCTAGTTTTTTTTTTATTATTGAAATTGTTTCATATGTATATATATATATTCAATATTATTGATTGCTTTCTGCAAAGTAGTAGTCCCGATTTCTCCAGTATCAATTAGCTCCACACAGGCAGAAACGTCTCTACGCCTTTATCACTATCACTATCTCTTTAAATAACAAAAGTAGGGGAGAGAGGTACTCACGCCTTCCATTTCTACAGTTAAAATTGCTTCATTTCATATCTGCTGCATGATGTACATCTCTATCACTTTTTGGCTGAGAAAGAGTAAATGTGGGCAGAAGGACTTAAAAGAGGAATGGATTAGGAGCTCGATAATCGAGCATTTGAGCAAAGCTGCAGAGAGAGTGAAAGGAGTGTTAGTGACTGTTGGTACGCTATTCTATGCATCTTTTCTCCACCTCTCCTTCTTTGCCGGTTCCTTGTCTCCTCCATTCCCCAAACACGCCAAAAACCAATATATCAATTTCCTCTCTCTCTCTCTCTCTCATTTATATATAAATATATACACCTATGCCCTACCTACTTGATTGATACTCTCACTTCATAAACATGAATGATTAATGATTTGAGAAGCATGTAGTGAAAGTGATCCTAGAAAGTGTGTATAGCAGCTTACTCATGCACAATTAAGAGAAGAAGTCACATTGCTTTATTTATATCCTTTCTGGTCCGCATTAATCTTTCACCTCCAAAAGACCAGAATCCTTCTCTAGCTATCTCTTTTTCATGTAGCAGTAATTAACAATCATCATCATCATGCAGTCTCCATCCATCACCTACAATACTATATCCCCTAGAGAAAGTGCCTGCTATGAAGCTGATGATGTACAAGATGAAGATTCCATAATCTTAACTCTTGGTCCTCCTGGACAAGCCCGACGCATTTCCAAATACCCTTTATCGTCATATCCTCCCTCAAGCAAGTCCCCCAACTATCCAAACCCTACCAGTACTGAAAGTGGTGTAACAGTTGCCCTCCACATTGGTCCACCAACAATTGAAACCAGCTCTAGCAACTCCAATGACATCGGTAATAGTCTTGTTGAAGGACAGTACTGGATTCCTACACCCGCGCAGATCCTTGTTGGTCCTACTCAGTTCCCTTGCACGGTCTGCAACAGAACCTTCAATAGATACAACAACATGCAGGTTCCTAATAGAGACTATTACTTACAAGTAATTATTATATGACAAATCATAATCATAATTGATTAGACCATTCTATGATGACATCAAAGAATTTCCTTGTTTTTCCCTTTATTTAACTTTTTTCCTATGCATGCATATAATATATATATATATATATGTAATTAAGAATGTCTTGCAATCTTTGTTCCATTTGTTTCTTCTCAATTTTATACTTACAGATGCATATGTGGGGGCATGGGTCGCAGTATCGAAAAGGCCCAGAATCCTTAAGAGGGACGAAACCAGCTTCGTCTGTGCTGAGACTTCCTTGTTACTGCTGTGCTGAGGGATGCAAGAACAATATAGAGCACCCCAGGTCTAGGCCATTGAAGGATTTCAGAACTTTGCAGACACATTACAAGAGAAAGCATGGAGCAAAGCCGTTTGGGTGCCGAAAATGCAGTAAGCCTTTTGCAGTTAGAGGGGATTGGAGGACTCACGAGAAGAACTGCGGGAAGCTCTGGTTTTGCATTTGTGGTTCTGATTTCAAGCACAAAAGGTCCCTCAAAGACCATGTTCGAGCCTTTGGAGATGGCCACGCTCCACATACTGTGGAATACTGTGAGGTTGAAGAAGAAGATGATGATGATGATGATGATGATGATGAAAATGAAAATGAAAATGATGAAGACAATGAAGATGGGAGTCATGGTTCTCTTTTCTTCTAATTGATTTTAGGTAGGAGAGTTTAAGTAATCAAGTTTTGATCCTTACTAATTAAGGTTTTAATTACTTTAACACTGCTTTGCACGCTTAGTAAATGTTTCTATCTATAGTCAAAGCCAAAGCTTATTTTTCTGTGCATTTAATGTTGGAAGTGGTTGTTCAATATTTAATTTATCTAATATCCAATCGTCTAATTTCTCCATCTTTTTTAAGTTTATAATTATCTAATGAACAATCACTATTTAATGTTAATACTCGGTAAATATTAATACTGAAAATTTTCATTAATAAGCACTAATGAGATGACAAGTTATATCTATTTTTAATTACAAGTTATATATAATTGAGTACTAATAAGTTGTTAGTATTTGCAATTATATATTAAATCCTTATATAAAACGATTGTGATAGATATACCCTAAAGGAATGCAAACACAAAAAATGAATAGGTTTGTATAATACGGCATATATAGCTAGTAAACAAACAAATCAAATTACTATGATATGGAAAATATATATAAGTATAAAATTGGAAAAATGAAAACCCAGAACATTGTATTCACACCAGTACGTACGTTCACATATAGTATAATTTATTATGGAATTGGGTGGTGAAGTAAATTCAGAAGTAAGCGCTGTGCCGAAAAGAGATCTGAGGGACAAATATCAGTGGAGTCACAGATTCTACTGTTGATGGCGTTTGCATTAATACAAAAATCAAAATTGACATAGAAATCGCGGACTCACTCTCTTTGGCCTTTGCTCCTTTATTTTTTTTTATGGTTTTGTTTTAACTCTGACTCAGTGACACACTCTCTCTCACACGTAAGAAAGTGAGTCATTGTTTCTATCAGTCTCTCTAAGCTTCGACTACCACTACTAACACTTTGATCCAACCCCTTTTGTCAGTCTCAGCTCAGCAACATTGGACAATGAGATCCAGCGCCCAGCGGGACCACTGATTTTTTCTCTGTTTTTGGGGTTTCACCCAAAGTCCTGCCTTTCCCTTTGTCCTTTTCGGGCTCCTTTCTCCTTACCCTTCGCTTCAGCCCTAGCTATAGCTTATAATATAGTAATTATATAGTATTTGTGCATGAACAGGGCCCTTTTTTTTCTTTTAATTTCTCGATTCTCTTTTGTCTTTTTATCAATCCTTCATTAATTTTGTTTTAAAGTGATAACAAATATATATATATATATATATATACGTGTGTATGGCCAAACATGCAATGTAGGCATGCGTGGATTTTCTTCCATTTTATTTTCTTTTCAAGTGCTGCAATCCCGATAGATTAATATACTAATATATTTAACGAAAAAATTGCATATAGTTCCGTACTGCATGTATATATATATGGTTTTTTAACTGATCAGATCCCCTCACAAGTATGATATTTATAATATGAAATGTGCACCATGTAGTAAGAAAGTGTATGATCCCATCCCAGGCGTACAGTAACGGCTTCAAAATCACCTAATTCCTACTAGGTGCTAGTTTCTGGTAGGAAAGCCTTCGCCCCTTTCTAATTAATTTATTATGATTTCTCTAGTTATTAATTAGCTATCTTTATTAATTAATAATGTGCATATATGTGTATTTATAATATTTAATGATAGTAAAAAAGATAGGTGAAAGTAGATTTTATTTGGTTGATGCTTTTGATAATATTAATTTTTTTTGAAAAATTACATAAAGCAAAAAACAATAAATAAAAAATAATATCATAATTGATTTAACATAGATAACAAAATAGTTTAATCATAATACTAATTATAACAATATTATATATATAACCTTAAATACACTTTAATTTAGTAGCTAATTAGACCAAAGCTTTTGAACTCTAATTAGCCATATATAAATAAGCTGCTGGCAACAGTCAATTTTTCTGTTAAAGGCCAGAATATATATATAGATATCCATTTGCTCTCTACTTTTCTACCACAGCATGGCTCATGGCTGTCAATTTTCAGACGTTCAATAACTATCTTCTTATATGCGAGTGTTCATGGCATTTAAGGGTCAATATTTGGAAGGTATAAATTAAATATATATATATGTGATAAATTATGGTTATTAATTACAGTTAGGTAAAGGCCAATATGTATTCTAAAAAAAGATAAAAATTTCATAACCTTCGAAATCAAGATTTCCATTTTTAGACCATGACTGCAAAATCAACATGTCCTGTACATACCTGTAATAATCAAACTAAGGCAGCTGAATTGTGTACCAACTTCGAGTTTGTTTGTTTTTTTGGCTTTTTTTTCTCCTTCTTTTCTTCTAGTTTAATTTCCAGTTGTAAAACCTGTTAACTAGGCCCAGGATATTTTGGGGGTATCTGCCCGCCTGCTAGCTAAAAAGCAAAACCCTAATATGTCAAAAAATTAAACTTGGAATTGCACTTTATCCTTTCGGTTTCTACTTTGAAATTGTTGAAATTTGGAGTGGCATCAAATCACATGAAGCGCCCATTCCATGCAGCCAGCACTACTAGGTTTCGATAGATACTTCCACAACTCACATCATTCAATAATTTGGAGAGAGCTTTAAATTATTCCTGGTACAAAACCAATTCTTCAGATTCCAGCTGGTAAAAACCCTATTCTAAATATTACTGTACTTTGAAACAAATTAGTTTACCTGTAAAACCAGATATGGATCGATGTCTTAAGTACACCAATATTAATCAAATCATTCTTGTTTATACATGCACTTTTAAATCAAACAGATCATATAAATTGTAATTTGAACCTGCTTTCGGAATATTTATTTGCAATGTAGGAAAAGAAGGGCAAAAACTTGAAGAATCATTGTTTATTTATCCAAAAAAAAAAAAAGGTAGGAAATAAATAATGAGTTCAGGAATCATTTGTCTGAGCTTTTTCCTAGTTTTCTCAGGTTGTCAAGGTTTTGGTCCATTACTTTTGGAGCTCTTTTCACAGCCTGCACCATGTCACTGGAAAAAGTCATGTGTCGACTCACATTTAAGCAAACCTTTGGGTTCAAATTGTCATGCCTTTTGCAATACCTTTCCCCTTTGTTCTTATTTTTATTTTTATTTTATGGTAGTGCTGTGGCCGGTGGGATGCAGAGAGTCTGGGAGAGGCTACAGTTACACTCCCCTCTGGTTTATATACCTGATTTTTTTTTTTTTATCTCCTTTTATATCTCAAATTTCTATATATTAAAAAATAAACTTTTTTAATATGATAAATTAGAATTTATATTTGATGCACTTATTAAATCAGATAATATCATTTCATTATCTAAATTTGAATGATAGATCATATAATTAGTTGACCAATTTCGTTTTGCAACAAGGTAACTAGATACAAGTATACTAAAACGTTTATTATCAGTCATTAGATATAAATAAACTAGGAATTCAATAATTCACAAACAAATAAACCAATATTTTTTTTTTTGTTAAACCTTAAATATAATATAATAATAGGGACATTTCCTATATCAACGTTAACTTATGGAATAATTAGTAATTGAACTTAATTAACATGGTATTAGAGTTGAATTGTTCAGTTTGAAAGCCTTTTTTCACTAATTTCTACACCCAATGTCTTTCTTGTTAATTGCTCCTTGGGTCTTATTATGTGCAATACTTCCATAATGCTTCTTTCTTCAAACATGGGTGTTAAAGTCATTGGGTCTTCATAGGGCTGTGAAAGCGGAAGGGTACTGATTCTGATTTTGGACTTTCATTGTGAAGGTTTGGGCTTTAGATGAGGAGAGTGAGACCAAGTAGCATTGAGAAGGTCCTTAACTTGCCGTTGGGCTTTCTTGATGAATGAAGGTCTAAGATGAGTAGACTAGAGACCAGTATATAACAAAATAAATACATAAATAAAATGCAGCAAGGCTTTTTTAAATAGGGAAATACAGTCAGGCTGCTCTGTCTTTCTTTAACCTAATCAAATGTGCCTCCTTAATTACTTAGCTGAAGTTGTCATTAAGAGACTAACTTTAGTCCTCGGAAAAATTAGACAAATTTTTGGAATTTCATAGATGCATGCAACTCACCAAATACTTGAACAATGCTCTGGAAGCGAGGTACATTGAAAAACAAGGAAATTTTTTTTTTTTAAAAGGATAATCTAACCGCAGATAACAGAAAACTAGCTCAATAATTCAAGCTAGGACATTACTTGCTATTCATCATCAGTTGGTAAAGTTAGGAATCGTCCCATGAGGCTCGGTAGCTTTAGCAGCCGCACATGGCTCGACGGCAGGCGATGGTGCCACTGGCTTCCCCAGAAGCTCAGCTGGCAAATCAGGTATCCCTTTCAAGTAGAAAGTATAAAACAGCTTGAACGGAAAAACTATCTGCTGTAACTTCACCTGTCCGTATGCTGCCTCAAAAATCCCAGAACCTTCCGTCACGGCCAAGTAGGTATCATCATACGTTAAATATGGTCCCTGGACAGATAAATGGCCATAGTCACCAAAGTAGAAGCTGTATATGGCTTCATAGCGGTCACCTTCTTTCTCCGGAACGTTTTGGATTAGCACACATAGTCCAGCTGTGATGCCTAACCTTTTCTGCAGGTCTCCGGAGTAGAGCTTGTTAGTGAAAGGAACCAGATCACCAAGAGAGTTAACAGGTTTTTGGCTTAGTTTTAAAACCGCAGGGCTGTTTCTGTCTCGCTCGTTGATTTCATAAACGTATAGTTCTTGAACTTTTGCTGAAACAATTAAAACGTCAGACTAGTAATTTGTTTCGGTGAAATCTTAACAAAACTATGCATGAAAATTAGTGTATATATTAAAATTTTGAGGGGAACGAAAATAAAAAGAGAATTAATTATGGGTTGAAGTACTTACTGGGCTTGGAATAATCTGGTGTGCGCTCCTTAGACTTGTTGAAGAAAAAGGCTGTGGTAGCGAAAGGCTTGCAGCCGGATGTTGAGGTGAAGAAACTTTTACGGGTTGATGAGATGTTAAGGTGATGGGAGGGAAAAAGGTGTGAATATGAGAGATTGGAACCTGAAATTCTGTGAGATTGGTAAGGTGAGCTGCGATCAGCTAACTTGACAGAAGAGATTGCTTGCAGAGAGCTGGTAGATGCCATTGACTATGTAGGAAATTAGTTGGAGAAGAAGATAGAAACCGGTCAAACCCTAGGAGGTTTTGTTTGCCGAATTCTAATTTTTAACCTAATAACAACAGCTGTTATTAGAATAAAAAATAAATTATTATGAATTACAGAAATTGAAAGCAACAACTTAAGTGTCTGGTCTTCAATTTTTTGGCTTAGTGATCAATAAGGTTTTAAGAAGATATGAAGATTGAGATTCGGCTCTCAACTTCCTTCTTTTCTTTGTTGTAAGACTTTGTTTCTCTTTTAAAATAAAAATAAAAAAAATAATTAGGTGTCTCGTCCTACCTCTTAATATATATTAATATAGGGGTCAATTACTTATTCATCAAGTAAATTTAATCATCAAAAAATAATATCTTTAAAAAATCTAAAAAAATCTTTTAAAATTTAAATCAATATTGCTAACAAGGGATTCATACTGCTTGTTTTTGCAAGATCAACAATATCCTTATTTATTTCTGAACAGTCTTTATTAATCAATCTTTGTACTGTACCATATTTCTAATAAGCTTTACAGATAAAATAATTTTTGATCACGTTACCGTGTAATTTCATTCTTATTTAGTTATTTACTAAACGAATAATAAAATTAGTTTTAATTATGTCTGACGATTGGTGGAAGGGCCGCTTAGGAAATGTTGATGAAAACGTGGGTTTTTATTTACAAGTGTGGAGAAACTTGCATAGGTTTGACCCACTGCTTGCTAGATCTTCGTTATACCTACTAGATATAGTCCTCCTCTTCTGTGGTTTACTTAATGCAAAGGTCGATTTTATTGGAAGACAAAATATATAGAAGGGACCTTATACCGTCAAGAAACAAAAACCGAAACAACAGCTACAAGCGAAGCAAGCAGAGTATTTACGGGTCAACAGAAGACCAAAGTTTAAAGGAAATTTCTCATGTCTTAACCAACTTGCAGTGTTTCTGCTATATAATACGATGTGAAGAAAAGCATCCAAGAGATGTGTATATTGTATTAATGGAATAATCAAAATAAAAAAAAAAAATTTTGATAAGAAAAATTCGAGATAAATAAGTTATTTAATCTCTCATATTAATATAAAATATACCATATTTGATAGTCTAAGATAGGTGACAACAGATTATTCATTTGACATGATCCCAATAAGTAATCACTTGTAAAACTCGAAATTAAGATCTCTTTATAAAAAAAAAAAGAGTTTAAACTAATTAAACTAACAATTTATTGGTAAAATAAAAATATACGAGTCTTCCTGAAATGGACCCAAAGCTTTTACAGCATTTAGCAATAATAATAGTGTATATGATGTAAAAATTAGACAGAAGGCAGGCAGCCAGCCATCAGGGTAAAATCAGTGATTTTCCAGTGTAGGGTTTGAAATCACACATGACAAACTCTGGACTATATATCTTCTGTAAAAGTAAGCCAAGTTCTACTGCTTTAAGTGGTTTTTACTTAAGGAATTGAAGAAATGTCACAAACCATTTTTCAGCTTAAGGGAAAAAGGGGAATGGCTCAAATATGCATGGATTGCTGGAAAAAGAAAACAAACTACAAATCTTCTCTTCACACTAAACTATACATGTCAAATCAGTGATATAGTTCATGCGACCGCAACAATATATAGTTGCTTTATTAGTGCACAATATATATTAGACACTTTGCATCTGAATTGCCTTACCATTTCCACCAACCTTAGATATATATATATATATATATATTATGTCACGTTACGGGAACCTTAGCCAATTTTTACCTTCTACTATATATATGCACGATATGGAAAAACATAAGGGTGCCAAAAATTATAATCAATTAAAAATTCGTGTCTAAAAAATTTGTCAAAATTTCCGCACCAGTTCGAGTGATTAGGATGGTGTGTTCAAACTGTGCAGCAGGGCTGCCATCAGCCGTCAAAGTTGTCCGGCGATGTGATACACTCGAGGCCTCCAATGTAAGAATTGGTTCTGCAGTTAAGAGGCAGCATATTCGTCAATATACATACATGAGCTTTATTATAAAAAGAAAGGTTAATATTATAAATAATTTTTAAATTATAATGAAATATTTAATATTGTATCTAAATTTTAAAAATTTTTAATGTAATTCATGAATTATAAATTTATTTGGCAAACCGTATAGTAGAAGCAGGGGAAGTGAGTGGGAACCCCATGAATACGGTTGATTTTGAGTATGATGATGTTGATGATGTTGATGATGAAGACAAGGGATGGCCATGTAATGAAGATGAGAGTTGTGAAGAGAGCCCATGGGAGACTGAAACAGAGAGAGAAACCCATTTCCAAAGTTAATTGGCTTTTTCAACATAATGCTCCACAGTCAATCACAAGTCATAAGTCACAAGGGTTTATGGGTTTTCCATTAATCTCTATTTTTCTTTTCTAAGAAAATGCTAAACTAAAGTGCAGTAATTCGCAAACTGGGATTTTTTTAAAGGGCTGGGCCGATGTAGAATGGGAAGAAAGGCCTCTGACAATCTGCCTGTATAATGTGATTTCTTACGGTTAATCGCGCAATTACGTGAAAAAGCAAATGTTGGATTTATTAAGAAGTTTTTTTATCTCATAAATTTTATCATTTTCTAAAAAATTGAATCCAAAAGTTTCAAATTAAAATCTCAAAATCTATATTTTGAAATGTTTGTTTACTAGGAAAGCAATTGTTTTGTTTAACACTAGCCATTTAATTATTCAGCTAAACAAAGTTTTTTGATGTATTTTCAACTAACAAGGAATATATGATACCAAAATAAATAACTAAGTTTAAATTTCCTTAGACTGGAGATGTTCATAAGAAAAAGAAATAGAGTCAAAAACGTAGAGCTAAAGCTGAGGTTGATGAATTTCAAAGAAAGAGAGAAGCCACATAGGAATCATGTGCAGCAATTAATTTGGAACTTAGGAGGAACATTCATGGAAAATTCTTACTCATACGGACCAAATCATGAATAAATCTTTCTATCTACACTTATACATATGTTAATTTAAGTTCTTATACATATAGGTTTCCACCTTAGCTAGAACATGTCATGTAATTAAGGGAAAAAATGTCAATGATCTTATATTGTATTATGAATTTGATTTCAAAATTAATTCCAGCAGCTTTGACAGCAATAATGTTGACATGAAACCCATGGCCTGCCTGAATTTTGACATTTTTCAGTAGAAATTAAATTAACAAATAATATCAAAAGCATTTAATATTTATGCAATATATACAGGCATAAACTCATATTGCACACATGGCATGTTTGCATTATTGTACTATAAACTAATGAACCATTTTTCGGTTAACAACTTTGCTTGTATTAGAAACTAGAAAGGTAATAATATAATGAAAACAATCAAGTGTCTGTTAGGAGAGCTTTTTTAGTCAAAAGGTTCCAAAATTGAATTTGTTCAAGTGATCATATAAAACCTGATATTGAGATCCTCTCAACTTCTTATCATTAAAAACCAAATGATTGGATGATGAATTTGAACTACTTCCTATTTCAAGTTTATTAAGAAAAACAACTAATACTGCATCTTGATAATTAAGAGCATGTTCCATTACAACATTCTATAGGATTTTAATCGTATTTCAACTCTTGTTTTCGGATGAAAAGGTTACATCATCTACTTCACCAGAGACTTGATGTTCAGAATATATAGTTTCCTTTTCAAGTTGTTTGATGACGGCAAGAACGCATTATTCTTAAAACTATGTAACAAAACCTAAATTAATTAATGGTTAAATCTCCGGACAGTACTACCTCCAGAGAATTAAAATGGGCAAAATGAGGAAACAAAAAAAAAAAAAAGATTTCAAATCTTTGCCACTACTTAATTTTACAAACTTTATGTTGGAAGACCTAATCGCTATAAAATATTTTCGATTTTAACCGTATCTTCCTTCATCCACAACCAAGCGACTAAAGATCATGTTTCGAGGCCTAAAGTGTTTTTAAAAATAATGTCTTGAAGGGCCAAACTACATCTTTATTATTGGACCAAATCATGACACAGTGACCAGTTAGCAAGTCAACATTTTTTAGGACACATGTTCTTTCATTCTTTGCATACCTAATTACTTTCTCTCTCTCTCTCTCTCTCTCTCTCTCTCTTGCCCTTTGTCTCTCCTCATCCTCCTTTTGTCAACAAATCAACATAGAGATTTTTTCGGGAAAGCAACGACACCACAAAAGCTACTAATTAAGAGCTAACATGAACAAATTGGCAGTTATTTATTTCTTTTTTTTTTTCAGGCTTCTTTTTCTTGGAAGAAATGTATTACACCTAATTTCAGCTTTCTTCAGCTTTTTGTCTTGTAATATACAATTTAACTTTTACAACTTGCAACAACACCCCCCCCCCTCCCATGTTCCCTTTCCCTGAACCCTCTTTAACATCCACAAATTTCAAAAAAAAAAAAAACATAAGTTACAACAAAAACAAAGAAAAAAAATTGAAAGGAATAATTAGGTAATGTTACAAAGCATCAATTACCCTCTGTTTCTTGCTACACTCTAATTCCCACAGCTCCATTTCTCTTGTCCTTTTCCCGTTACATCCACCCAGACCAACATTTTCACTGCCAGGAATTTTAAAAATGTTGACTCCAAATAGCCTGACCATTTCAACCGGCCCAACCGGGTTCTCCAAAGCCAAAGCCAACCCAGTTCTCAGTTTCCAGTCAATGTAAAGCTGCTTCTCCGGCCCTGTTGATCTCTGAAAACTAACAATGTCACCGGCTTTAAGGTTCTTCTCCTTAACAAAGCGGCTCCACCCTTTTGTTAAGACATAGCTTTGGCTACTATTCCAATAGGAATATCTAAACCTCCAAACTTTGCCAGTCACATCTTCGAAGTTCAAAAGAACTCCTTTCGATGAAGCAGTTCCACTTTGCAATGGGAAGTACTTCTCCGCATGCTGCTTAGGTATTACAAGTCGGTTCAACTTCCCCACATCGCTTGGGGTCACAGCTTTTTCGAAGAGCTGTTCACGCGCTTTCAGCTTAAGACCGAAGGAACCAAATCCAACGTCGTTTCTGACCACACGTTTCCCATTCCCATTGAAGCCATAGCTTTTCCGACTCTGCTCGAGCTCATCATTGTAAGTATGCTTACGCAACATGTCAACGATTTCAACCTTGGAATGTGAATTGAGGAAGGCCCTTTCGATTTCATCTTCGTCAGTTTCTTGGAGGTGTTTGAAGTTAGTCACGGCATCACGACCCCGAAACTTTTGAGCAGCTATGTCATAGACTTTGGCAGCCTCATCTTCTTCATTAAAAGTTCCAAGCCAGACACGTTGGTGCTTCTCGTATATCTGAGCACCCCATCGGCCGTTGGGTTGAGGAACAACGCCTTTGTACTTGGAAGAAGGGAGCTTTCTTGATTCAGCTTCGACCCCAGCTTCAGAATCCACAATCACGCTGGTTCCACTTCCAACTCGGCAGAGAGAGTCGGGAGATTTAGTAACAGGAGGCAAAGGTGAAATATTTGATGGAGAAATGGATATGGATATGGAATCACTAGTTGTGGTTTCATCCATGCAGCTTCCATCCATTTTTTCTGTCTATTTTTGAGTTGTACAAACAGGGAAAGAGATACAGAGGTTGTAGTAGTAGCAGAACAACGTTTGTTTTGTTCGTTGTTTGTGTTGTGTTGTGTGAGATGGCTTTGTTTGAAGGCCCGTGTGGTGGTGTTGTATATATATAGGGGATAGGTAATTTTTCTTAATTCAAATTATTAACTTACTTATATTTGTTAAATATATATTTGACAAATTCGAAAATGGAGAACATTTTTTTCTTAGGTTATTATGGCAAGGGAGAGTAATGAGCATATATGGGGATGTGGGTTCGGTGGGTCAACCCAGAGAGAGGGGAAGGAATGGTCAGGAACTAGGAAGATTCATGGAGAGAGAGAGAGAGAGAGAGAGAGAGAGAGAGAGAGAGAGGGGAAAAAAATTAAGAATAGCTGGAAAAACAAGGAAGAAAGAGGAAAGGGTAAATAGTACGTGGACTGGGCAGTGGATGTGAGGTGGGACCCAAGGGAGCAAGTTGATTTGGGGGTGGGTTCACATGACAGTGGAGTGTGTGTATTATTTAAGTTCATCCCCCCGGAGCTTTGCTGGTAGCTGCTGAGCACCAGCATGGAAATTGGTGTAAGCCCATTCTCTCTCTCTTGAAACATTTATCTTTAAATTTTTTTTTATAGAATCGACAGATAGTAATCTTATCTGATACTGTAGCTGTTGTTTCATTAAAATGTGCTGAATTACACAACCAATTAGAATCCAGATAAACATGAAGTTTTTGAGTTCCACTAGGATGGGATGGGTAGTGGGCCTGCAGGATTAATAAGGGATGGATATTAGACATTGAACACAGACACAGGCAATTCCCATCCCTCCAAGCTTTGCTTTGTCTTTATTGCCAAGGACCAAGGTTCTTTTTCCTTCCCTCTCCTCCAGTCCTCCCCACTTCCCATATTATTGTTATCATCATTTTAATAGAATTATTATGCCCCGTTTTGACTCAAGTTATTAAAAAAACTATTTAAAAAATAATTTCGAATTAAAATAAACCGTATTTACTTTTTTATTTATTTTCTTTTTTATAAGACATAATTTTTTCAAAAAAATTTTTTTCTATAATTTTGTGTTAATTTATTAATTTTAATTTTTAATGTATTTTTATTTTCATATTAGTTTTTTTATTTGTCAAATATAATTGCTTTAAAAAATCAGACGTCACTTTTCTATTTGTTTCTTAATGCCAGGTATTGCTCATGTTAAAGAAAAAATATGTCAATTTTATTTTTACTTCTGCTACTGTTCCAGTTACTACAATATTTTGAAAACCTTACATTGTATAAAGAAATTAAAAAAAAAAAAAAAACTCATGTATATCATTGATTCAACTACTTGAATGGACCGTCATTGCCCGTTTCATTTTCTTATATTTTCATTTGGTGGCATTGCTATTAAAATATAATAATATAATTAGAGAGATAAAAAAAATTAGAGCAATGGAAATATGTAGAATGAAACACTAGCATCGAATAGTATTACATGGGAAAGGATAATTGCACGGACGAGTTGAGAGTGAGGACCCACAAGCAAGTTGATTAAAAACCGGGCGCCGGAGACGGTGGGTCTCTTGTTTTGGTTTAGGACTTTAAGGTGGGTGTGATACTTTGAGATTCTACTCAGATTTTTCCTTCAAATTCTTCTTTTATTTTACTCATATTAATATAAATAAATAAATAAATATATAAATACGAGTTTACGTGGAAAGTCTGATTTGTTTGGTTTAGTTTCTATGTTTTTAAAATTATTTTATTTATTAAAAAAAAAAAGAGAAAAAGAGAAATTTTAAAAGAAATTTCCAAGTATATTAAAAAAAGTGGATGTACGGTATTGGTTATATAACGATACTCGTTTCCAGTTGGAACGTGCAAAATGTTAAAAAAAAAAAAAAGGGGGGGGGGGGGGGAAACGGATGGATGGACATGACTCATATAGGATTAGTTTCTCATGAACACCAACTCTATCTATTCTCTATTTTTTCTAGTTTAAGATTGTTAACTCTTTATTAATAAATATTTACAAATTTAAACCAAACTATTTTTGTTAATTATGATGCCAAAGGACAATTATGTTGATCCATGGTACAAAACTTAGATTTCCTTTTAATTCCCTTTTCATGCTTTTTCCATTTCCAAAATAATAATAATAATTTAGATTCATTTTTGTATGTCCATATGGTTTGTGATTCTGTTACATTATCAGCTTTATTTCCACATTTAGGTCGGCTGCCCGAATCCAACGAAATGGTCGGGGCCACGTCTCCCCCCCATTATCAAATAGTCTTACTATTACTCTCTCCAACTCCATGTATGATGTGTTTTATATGTCAAATTTTATCGAATATGACAATGAAACCAACCTTTTTGCCTTTTATATACTAAAACTAATTATTAAACTCATCTCTACCACAAATATATTATTATAAGCGACGGATTTCACATTTGATTTTGAAAGGTAAACTATACTATATAAAAATACGAAAATGTTTTAAAATTTGGGGGTCAATATAAATATATACATACTAAGCCCTAAATAAAATTAATAATTCTAAGTTTGGAATCAATTTAAGTTTATTTTTATATATATATATATATATATATATATATATATACACACATACATATTAAGAGGTTTTAATCATTTCTTAGGGTGCCATTTTGATACCATCCACTCCCGTTTACTACTTACTAAAACCTAGCTTTTTTTTTTTTTTTTGGGTTTAGGATTAATGTACATTATCTCATTTCATTTCAACAAAATTATGTACACTATCTTCGTTGCTATCACATGTTTGATTCCACTAAACAATCTGTTAACTGGTTTAAAAGAATGTCATTAATTAATTCCTAATATAAACGTGGATGCATTGTAATTTACATGGGATAAAGTTTATCAACAAGCACTGCACTGGGTGCACTTTCCTTTGGTTTCCTATACTTTAATCATCATCTTCATGCCCGTATATCCTTTCATTTCATAATGGGTTTTAGAGTAACTTATAACTGAATGGATTCGATGGTCCATCCATCATCTTTTTGGTTGCCTGCCCTCACCCTGCTTATGTCTGTCCGTTTCACTTTTTGATTATTAAATATTAACCTTATACTTTTTATCTTTATCTTTTCTTTTTTTTTTTTCTAAAAGAACAACTATGAAATTCCTTTCAAGTTTGGGTAAGTATGTAGACCCTTATTTAGAGTACTAAAGTTTTTTCACTTTTGTTAACTGTGAAATTAATCTTAGTTAATTAATTTGCATAAAGATATGCTCGATCGATCGTTTCTTTAATTTCAAACATGTTGGCACAGACACTTGATTTCTTATCATCAAACAACCAGACAAAATTTTATAAAGCTTTTTCTATATTGAGAGAGGGATCATGACGAATTTGTCTAACCATATTTCACCAATTATAAATTATAGTCAGGTGCCTATAGTATGTTTCAAAAGCAAAACCAAGTGTTTATCTACTTCTTTAACTTTACATTAAAATAAAACCTTTGTGATTATCTCAAAAGAATATAAATTTGTCTTTATGCAAGTACCATGCTCCCACCTTTCTACTGCCTAGGGAATTTTCAGTTGTAGATGATTTAATATATGACTCAAAACGGCTGTGCCACGTCAAATACACGACTCCAGTGCCATGTCAGCCATAAAAGAAGTATTAAAAAAGGCAATTTTCCACTTGTGTGTTGAAATCATTAGTTTTTATACATATGGAATCTTGATTCTTGATGCTTGCTTTAGGAAAATGTTGGTTTAAACATACTTTTGTAGTGGCTATTGATCCTAAAGCTAACATCCAAATTAATATATAACAAAGATTATCGTGCATAACACCCCCAAAAAAAAAAAACTTGCCTTCGTATATTTGCGTTTTAGTAATTTTTTTATGATCTCATTGTATCAAGAAATTTGATGATAGGGGAATTATGATAATTAAGTTGGAATTAATATATAGGATATGAATTAGATGAAAGGGCATCAAAATTTTCTGTTGCTAAGATTTAAGTCATCAAATTTTAATAATTGCTTTATAATAGGACATCTTCAAAAAAAAAAAAAGAAGAAAAATCAGCCACTTGGGTGTTGATCCTGATATTAATAGTGAAAAAAAATGTTATAATCAACTATAACTATCAAACCCTTCATTAGAACTAGAGGAAAATGTCATTCAAATTAATAGTAATTATGATTGCAAACAAATTAACTGCACATTACAGACAATAAATTATAGAGAAATCAATATTACAAGTACTTCATACAATCATCCAATCAAATTATTTTTTGTGAGTTACCTAATACTACCATCTTATACAATAGATGTTCAATGAAATAAATTCAAACGAAAAATTGAATTTCTTAAGGTTATAATAATTTTTTAATATATATAATTACCATTCAACGGAACAAAAGAGATGAGACGATATGTACAACTAAATTAAAGAAAGAAAAAGAACCCCAAAAGAAAATCTAAATGCATGTTCATGGATAATGTCACGTAAGCAGTGATGAAAAGTAATTCGTTCATAAATTTACTTTTGCAATTTGCATCTTATCAAACAACTATTATTATTGTAATTAAGTAATATATCTACGCCCACATAATTAACTAAATGGGTATTTTCTTTCCTCTTTTTAATCTCCTCTATCCTAAACCATCGAATGAAGAAAAGTCTAAACATTTTGCTGTATGAAACAAAAAAGAAAAAGAAAACATCGGAGAAAATCAAAACATTTCATGGAACTTTCTGCCTTGTCAACTACACGCATGATTCCATACCTTTTGTTTGTTTTCTTATCAGTTATTCCAACCCGTTTCTTCACACTGTTCACACACGCAACCATTACCCAAGTTATCCGCACTTGAAAAAAATCATTCTTAAAAAGCAGTAATTAAAATTGTTTTTTTATTTAATTTAATGGAAATAAAAAGAAAAATAAAACCGAGTAAATTAGGGAATCTTTGACTGTTTCTTGATCCTCTACTGACGTGGTTAACAGCGTACCTTTTCGTGTCAACCCACGTGATTCTATCATCTCTACAACTTACCCACACACGTTACATCTATTAATATATAATATAATACAATGCAATTGTTTATTACTATAATTAAA